CCACTTTGATCAAGCGTAACATTACAATGGGCCACAATTTAGGCAAACATGCTTTTAAAAAAGTAAAACAAATACAAAATGAATAAGATTTCATTGTTATACCAAGAGTTCGTACTCGCACTTGTGCATTATAACAATGACACATGCAAATTTTCATTTATTTAATTGTTTTGGTATACACAAAATGGAAAATGAAAGTTTTAATAGATATATAATATCGCTTAGCGGGCCACACAATTTAATGTGATGAGCCGCTGTGGCCCACAGGCTGGCAAGGCCTGATTTAAGTATATTAATGGTTAAAATAAAATTAAAAGGTAATCAATTAGATGAACAATATTTATTCAAACATAGTCTGCTTAATTATAAAAAACAATATTGATTAGAAGTGACACAACACTTGTACAAAACTATAAAATAAAAATAAGCTAATCAGTACTTATCAGTTTGTATTTTTTCATTAAGCCATGCACTTTTAAAGGTAATTAACTTTCGAAANGTCAATACTCTTCTCTCTCTTTTTTTTTTATATTTTTAAATATACAACTTCATTGTATATATTGTGGTTGGCCCCATCACAACACCAAGGAATTTGTGTGGGTCAGATAATTGGAAAATGTAATGACTTTTGTGAATGTACAAAATATTCAAGAATCAAATCTAAACAAAAAAATTGGTGAATTGGTTTTTGTCCTTACATTACAATACAAAACCATGAACATTAAGTTTTGGCTTTATGGATGACTTATAACACACTATTGATTATGTTGGAGTAATCATGGTAGTAGATAGACACAGGTTTATTATGATGACAGTATGCATTTTGGATAGGTTGTATATCCCTCTTCAGCTGTATTTGTTACAATTTGATAGAAATACAGCTGTATAAAAGAAACATTCTATTTTGTTGTGATGATGCATGGATGACTTCATTTTTGGGATTTTCACAGTTGTTATATTATGTTTTCCATACAAATAGCAACCAGAGATTAAAATTGTCACTAATAAAATCAATTATGAAGTAAATAGTCAGTTCATACAAACAATGTTCTCCACTACAGAAGCGATGCTAGTAGCATCGCTTCTGTAGTGGAGAACATTGTTTGTATGAACTGACTATTTTAATCTCTGGTTGCTATTTGTCTGGAAAACATAATATAATATAATGACTGTGAAAAATCCCAAAAATGAAGTTATCCATGCATCAGCAACAAAACAGAATGTTCCTTTTATACATCTGTATATCCATCAAATTGTAACAAATACTGCTGTATTCGTTACAACCTATCTGAAATGCATACCATCATCATAATAAACCTGTGTCTACCTACTTCTTTGTGATTACTCCAGAAAAAATTGTTATTTAGAAAAAAGTTTTGTTGTGTCAAATGGAACTTTGAACTGCAAAAAAATAAATACATCAGTAGTTGAACTCTATTAACTGTGTTGAAACAATAAGTGCAATTATATGAACAGATGAAAAAACTTCCCTGGAAAAAGAGGTTGATCTCTGAATAGCTCCTGTAAACTTGCAATGACAATTTGAGAACCCAATCAAAATGAGAGATGTATTAATTGTAATTTAAAACGGTTAATGGATGATATTCAAGCGATCTTTGAAAAATCTGATCAAACGGAGAGAGAAAAAAAAAAAAAGTTGCATCTGAACTTTCAGACAAGAGACATCTCCATCCTTGCTGCTCCCAATGATCATCATAGAGAAATAACTTCAATTGACCAACCAAGATGAGTTTCGTCCTCAATGATTAAATCAAATCCTCTCATCATTCATTGAATCATCTAACAGAACAAGAAGCCTAGTTCAAATCATTAAAGGAAAGTGGACAAAAGTTGTTCCTACTTCAAGTTCCCAATGATCTTTCAAATTGATCAAATGTGCAATTGGAATGTTTCTTTTAGAATCACTCCAAAAAACTCAGGTATTTATCAACCACTCATCTACCTTCAGAACTCTCTCACATTCTCTCTCTATTTGGGGGAAATACACAATCAACAATTTATTTGCACATCATGCACTGGGAAGGATACAATGTAAGAAAAATATATAGAATTTCTTTGAAAATAAACTTGTCTTTTGAAGGTTAGCCTCCTATCTCTTCCTTTCTGTAATGGTCATATACTTGCCCCCCCAAAAAAGTAAAAATTTGTCACAAACATGTTTAGAGTTATCAGTTCTTTCCAAGAAAAACTGACTGGTGTCAGACAGACACCATTCAGTTTTTCTTGGAAATCCTGAAGATTTAAACAATCATGGTGTGGTGAGGAGGGAGGTCCACAATACTAATATAATAAAATATGTAATATCTCTAATAAAATTTGATAAACAAGAATTGTGAATTAAAATACAATCTTTTAATTTATATCCTCATTATCTAACAAACTTTTTAGCATTAAGAAATAAATAACATTTTGGTTGTATAATACTATTTAGTATTAAAATTAATTAATTCTGATTTTAACTGTTAACTCTTAATTTATATTATACTAGCTGTTACCTGCAGCTTCACCCGTGCAGATTTTGCAATTTGATAGAAATAACTCTCCTCGGTACTTCATAAAATTCTCAATCATTAGTTCTTACTAATTTGGTAAAATTACTGATTTTTGTTTGTTTCAAACTATAAACTGCTAATACACCTAAATTCAAGTTTCAAATATTATGGGATTCTGAGATACAATAAATCTGAGTTCAAGTTTTTTTTTTCAAAACATAAATGAAATTATCTGAAAATGTGTAAAGTATAAATATTTACTAAAAAATAGAGTTTCAGTTACCCCAGTACCTCTGTAAACCACGTTTGTGGTACTGCCTTTTGGGGCTAAAACTTTTTAAGCCTTAATCCTCTCCATCTTCCCCATGGGAAAATTTCCAAAAATCCCTTCTTAGTGTGCACTCTGATTGCATACTCTACTAAATACTAAAACATAGTTAAAAACAAAAAAAATTCAAATTGCAAATAGGCCATTCTTCAGGTTAAGTCTTAATCCTCTCCCTCTCCCCCACGGTGGAATTTAGAAAAATCCCTTCTTAGTGTGCATTTTCATGACATACCCTAACTGTGTACCAAATTTCACCTCTTTAGGTTCAGCAGTTTTGCTCTGGGCAATGATGAATCAATCAGTCAGTCAGTGCATATAATTTTATATATATAGATTTATAAGTGCATGCAGACATCATTTTATGAATAGTTTTTATGGAAACTGCTGTACATAGAAAATTTTTGAATAATGAAAATATTTACTTTCACTAGAGTGCATAATTATTATTAATTAGTTTTTACCAAAAATGAAATTATGTGATGAAAATCTTTATTTATATTTCTAGTTATATTATCTTGTCTTTTGGTTCAAAATTAATAGAATGTTAAGTTTTCCAAATTTTTCAAATCTAAAAAATTAGAAATTAAGGATAATTATTGAATTGCTTGTTGTATTTATCAGATTAACTGATAAATACAACAAGCAACAATTTATTATTATTTATTTAACAATTATAAAAAACAATATTGATTAGAAGTGACACAACACTTGTACAAAACTATAAAATAAAAATAAGCTAATCAGTACTTATCAGTTTGTATTTTTTCATTAAGCCATGCACTTTTAAAAAGTAATTAACTTTCAAAAATATTTTCAAAAATTCAAACGAAATAATAAAAATAACTTTTAAAGTCAAACTAAACTTAAAAATGAACTTGTTTGTGTTTCTTAGTGTAACATAAAATATTTAATCTTTAATTTATTTTTACAGTTAATAATTAGTTAATAATCTGCATTAGTAACTTGATACAATAAATTATTATTTTTATTGTATTTATTATAAATCTTAAAAATGTTCTTAAATTTATCTTACTTTTATATTTTTTAACAATTTGTAAAGATCTTCAACTTCATCTCCTTCTGTTGGTTGATATTCACTTTCTTGATTAAGAGGAGTTCCATCTATAACTTGTCTGAAGAGAGGAAGATCAATAGCTTCAGCATACAAGTCTATGGCATGATGACCCACAGACTGATACATGTAACTATCTAATTCATCTATAATATGTGATGTCAAAATATTAATATATACTACAAAGTTAATTTTCAAATTTCTGTGTTTATTTTAACAAAAAAAATTTAATAATGGCAATAAAATTTAATGTAGAAATTAAAAATTTTTGGATATTAATATTTACCTATTTTCAGGAATATAGATTAAATGAAGAATATATAAATTAAATGCTTATTTAAATATAAAAACAAATAAATAAAAATCATTAGAAGAGTAGTAATCTTTTTGTCTTTACTCTTGAAACAGATTGTTAATATTCAATAATCACTTCCTAATTACATGAACATTTATTTATTATGACATTAAAAATTGCAACCTGGCATTGTAACAATCATACTTTTAAAATTTATTTAATTTAAAATATGTATATGCTCTCTGCCTCAAATTAGTAGTGTCTTGACCATGTACATATTTTTCCTTTAACAATAAAGTTGTGCCAGTTATATAATATATCTAACACCTTTTTCAGAAGTAAATGTTTGAATTGAAATAACATGACTTATGGTGCAAATTGGAAGTTCATACATAATTAATTGGGCCTCCTGCCCCTAAGGTTTCCATATCTGGTGTTTATGTTTAACTAACTCTGCTCTCGAGATTAAGGAAAGACAGATGGATGGATGATTGTAGGAATTTATTAGGTCTATAATTTTTCCAACTTGCAGTTCAAAAAATAAATTACATTAAATAGATTGATATCAAATAATTCATCATTTCATATGGACAATATAAAAAATATATATATGTTACTGGCCAAACCTGATTTCAGGCCAAACTTGTTTATCCTACGCATGTCAGGATTAGGGAATTCGATCCCGGTCCTTATTTCTAATCCCGGGATTTCGGGATTATACTTAGTCAATCCCGGGATCCCGGGATTATTTCGGTATTGAGGGTTAATAAAAAATAAGAAAATCTTACAGAAATCAACAAATCATAATTTAGACAAAAATCAACATATTTTACAGTATACACCTAGCTAATTTAATCACTCTAACTAATCAGACTCAGAGTCAGACTAACCAGACTTAAAATCACTCAGTCTTCATGTTAAATTTATTCTTTTTTAAGCATCACTGAGATCTCTTTAAACTCACATAAATTGAAAAAACCTTTATGTANGAAAAATGTTTGTATTTTATGAATAAACATTAAAAATAATTTAAAATTACAAAATAAACAGTTTTTTTAAGCAATCTCAGAGAAAAATTTGTTTTAAGAATGAAACACAGTAAGTTAAATTTTTATTAAATAGTTATATATAAAGTTAAAGTTTATTAATAAATTTAAAAAAGTGAAAAAAATATATGTAAAGCTTATAGAATATAATCAGCTTTTCTAAATAAACTATGTTCTTAGAATTAGACTTATATAAAAATTACATAATTTTAATTACTGTACTTACTTTATGGTTACTATATGCAGTCCTATTATTATGAAGAACAGCAAGTAATGCTTTCACATGCTGATGTACTGCAGGAGGCGTAGGAAGGGTCAACATTTGAGTAGCCATTTCAAGAGCTGCAGTCTTTAAATTATCCTTCTCTTCTGTCAATGCTCTTACAGAAAAGCATCCATCTAATAATTCCATACTACTTCCTACTAATCTAAAATAAAAATTTCATGAATTATAGCAAATTATTACTATTTGAATTTTCTTGGCTAATCATTTATGTATATAATATATTTTAAAATGTCAACATAAACCTGAGAAATTTAAAAACTCAAATGTTCAGAAAATCAGAATAATGCATTAAGCAAAATAACTTAAAAGCAACATGCCATGAATAATTAATATTTACAAACTGTCAATTTTAATTGAGGTAACACCAGATGAGAAATACAAACAATTCAAACTAAATGCATTTGTTATATTGGTATTATAACAGTTTCAAAATTATAGTATATATGTTACCGGCCAAACCCAATTTCAGGCCAAACTAGTTTATCCTACGCGTGTCAGGATATACTAGTTTAGCCTAGGACAATCTAGTTTGACCTAAATACTTTATGCTTAACTAGTTTGTCCTAGCCAAACTGATTCAGAATTATTATTTAAGTCAGGCCTGGACAACCCAAATTGTTTTGCAGGCCACTTTAATCACGCGTAACATTACAATGGGCCACAATTTAGGTAAACATGCTTTTAAAAAAGTAAAACAAATACAAAATGAATAAGATTTCATTGTTATACCAAGAGTTTGTGCTCGCACTTGCACATTATAACAATGACACATGCAAATTTTCATTTATTTAATTGTTTTGGTGTACATAAAATGGAAAACGAAAGTTTTAATAGGTATATAACATCGCTTAGCGTGCCACACAGTTTAATGTGACAGGCCGCGAGTTGGCCAGGCCTGATTTAAGTATATTAATGGTTAAAATAAAATTAAAAGGTAATCAATTAGATGAACAATATTTATTCAAACATAGTCTACTTAATTATAAAAAACAATATTGATTAGAAGTGACACAACACTTGTACAAAACTATAAAATAAAAATAAGCTAATCAGTACTTATCAGTTTGTATTTTTTCATTAAGCCATGCACTTTTAAAGGTAATTAACTTTCGAAAATATTTTCAAAAATTCAAATGAAATAATAAAAATAACTTTTAAAGTCAAACTAAACTTAAAAATGAACTTGTTTGTGTTTCTTAATATAACATATAAAATATTTAATCTTTTATTTATTTTTACAGGATGAGTTAAAGTGTACCTAGGTAACCCAATGGCAGCACTTTGGACTGTTCGTGCTCCCGGCCACCCATTGCTTAATGTCACTAGTTATTGATTCACAGTAGTTCTTGAACAAAAGAAAAGAAGAAAAAAAAGAAATGTCTACTAAAAATGTAGTTAATCTAACCAAACCAACCTAACCGAAGCACTGCCACTGGGGTTACCTAGGTACATTTTAACCACTGGGTGTACTGTGGTGGCATTTCGAATTACACAAAAACATTTTTTTTACACTGGCGCCTATTTGTAGTACATAAATCAGTTTGGCCTAGGCCAAACTAGATTATCCTAGGCTAAACTAGTATATCCTGACATGCATAGGACAAACTAGTTCGGCCTGAAATCGGGTTTGGCCGGTAACATATACACACATTCCTTCATATCATTCATGACTATTAAATTAAAGCAAGTTTCTTCTCAATATAAAAATAAATGTTATGGAAAATAAAAAAAAATCAGAAAATTTCTATATAACTAATAATTAAAAAGAACACACATGTGATATACAGGGTGATTCAGATAAGTGTGTACAAACTTCTTGGAGGGGTAGGTTACCCAAAGACAAATAGAAATCATATAACAATTCTGGATCAGAAATACCATCTTCATGTGCTAATATATACAGAGGATGAGAAATAAAAGAATAGCACATAAGAGAATGAAATGCTTTTTATTACTCACAAGACATTTGCAAAATGCATTGAGGTTATAGGTGTTCAAAGTTTTGACCATGATCTGTAACACATGCTTGATATTGGTAGCATATGGAATACATACATTTTGGAAAGTTCCTGGTGTGTCTCTGACTTCTGAAGCAGCTAAATAAATGCATGCTACAAGGTCCTTATCACTTTCAATGAGGTGTCATACACCTGTCCTTTGATGTAACCTCAGAAGAAGTAATCAAGACATATGAAGTCCAGTGATCCTGAAAGAACATATGAGCAGTTTCATAGCCAAATAATGCCATCTACCACATGAAGATGGCATTTCACCCAGCATTGCTATATGATTCTGATTTGTCTTTGTGCAATCTGCTCCTTCCAGAAGTTTGTACACACTTAGTTGAATCACCCTGTATATGGAAAGTCATAACATAAGTAATGAGCAACATTTTTTTTTATAAATAATTATTTTGTTTTATTAAAAATTGAAGTATACCATCTTAAATTGTAGACTTCTCTTTACTTTCAATATAATCCCCACTTCTTTGTACACATCTTTCCCAACAGTCAGGAAGTTTGAATATCCCCATGGCATATTGCCCAGCCTTCTGAAGGCACTGATGCACTGCTTCCTCAATTGATGCCATTGTCTCATAACATTGACCTCACATCTGATCCTTCACAAATCCAAACAGATAGTAATCTGAGGGTGCCAGATCAGGTATGTAGCAAGAATGTGAAAGAACTTCTCAACCCAGCTCTTCATTTTTTCTGATGTGTAGCAGATAGTGCAGGACTGAGCATTGTCATGTTGCAAAATGATCTTTCTTCCAGAACATTTATTATACAATGTGCATTGAAGCTTGTGCAGTATCTGGACATAAGGATCAGCATTATTTGCCCAGGTTCTAAAAAAAAACAGTCAAAATCGACCCTTCTACATTCCAGAAAATTGTACCCATAATCTTTGCGGCTGATGAAACTGTGTTTGTTTTCTCTTTTGTTGGCAAAGTCAAATGGTGTCATTCCATGCTCTACCATTTTGTTTCTGCACAAAATGGTGAAACCATCTTTCACCACCTGTCACAGTATTGGGCAAAAAATCATCTTCATTTTGATATTGCTGAAGTAGTTCTGAGATGATGGTTTGTACTGAACTTTGTAATCTTCAGTCAATAAATGCAGCACCCAACAAGCAAAATCTTTCCTTTAGCCTAAACTTTTTATCATCTTAACTGCATGATGCCCTATTCCAAGTGTTCTCACTATTTCCTCCTCAGGAACGTCACAGGTCTGTCTTCCTGAATGAGATCATCAACTCGCACCTTGTTGTATACTGTTCTGGCTGAGGGCAACCATTATAAGGTTGATCTTGGATACCCATGTTCCTGTCTTTAAAATGTTTCACTCATCTAACATTTCTGGCATCCATGTATTAATTTCCTTATGCACACTAAAGTCTTTGGTGAAGTTCTGCAGTGGGGATTTCCTCTTTAATGAGAAACTAAATGATGGCATGTTAATCAAATGAAATGTCATTGTATGCCATTTTGTTCAAAGGTCTTGTGGTCACATGATACAAGCTATTGACATCATTAAGGCATGCAAATATACGACAAGAGATGGTATATTTGCAGACAGTAATAATTCTTCTGCTGTTGCAGATTTGACTACAAAAGTTTTTTGCTCATTACTTTTTGTATGACCTTAGTATATTTATATGCAATGAATATCATAAAGTCAACTGTTAAAAAATTAGATAACCTGAAAGCATATTAAAGGAATTACCTCTTTTATTATATTAAAAAAGGGTAATTCAAGATTAAAGAATTTCTTAAGTTATAATTATTATAAATCAATTTATATTTGTTATGAATAAAAGTAAAACAAACAAGTAATCAAAATTTTTTTCCTCTATTGCTATAGAGCTTACCATATTTTATCAATCTTTTTTAAAATTCTTTTGTGAGCATTTTTTCTATTTTTAAATATTCTATATTTAATAAATGGATGTTCAAAAGAAACTCTTACACATACAGTTTTGATTACATTTGAAGATAACAGATTTGATCAAAAACAATATTCATTAATAATTTATTTATTACAATAGCTAATATTAACTATATAGGCCTATTTTAAGTAATCTAAAACATATAGTTAATCATACAGGATTAATTAAAAAGGATTAATTAAGATATACAGTAGAGCAGGGTTTCTTAAACTGTGGGTCGCAACCCCATTTGAGGTTGCTTAGTGAAATCTTGGGGTCACGAGATTTTAATGCAAAATTTTGAAAATAATTTGTGAGAATTTGAAAATGGCGTGCTTTGTCATAGATTTCGTGAGTTGCGTTTTGTGTCACTTCTGGTGCAGCGAGACAATGATTCATCAACACTGATTGTAGTGTGAACTAGTGTAGTGTTGTCACTTTTCAGTGTATTCAGTTGTCTCTGTTCCATTGTAACACAAGAGTGAACTGTGGTAGTGCACCATTATTGGTTTTGCAAATTTGTATATATCTTTATTTTATATTTTTTGGGGGGGGTCGCGAAAAAAATCACAATCATAAATGGGGTCGTGAATAAAAAAAGTTTAAGAAGCCCTGCAGTAGAGCATCGATTATCCGAAATAATTTGGGACTGGGGTTGTTTGGATAACTGATCATTTACGAAAAAATATATTAAACACAAAATGTACTGTATGTATTTTATATCACATATCTTACAAATACATACCTTACATAAAGTTGTGCATTAAAGTAGGCCTGCAGTTTAGGTTCACAAGGAGGGGGAAAGTGATGCAGTGTCACAAAACTAGCAGAAATTTGAATTTGCTGATTGGAACGCTTTCAGTTAACCGATGTTTCAGTTGATTGGTATTCGGATAATCAATGCTTTACTGTAATACATAATAGTGATGTGCCGGATATCCGACGGAAAAAAAAATCCGTTTCCGTATCCATTACTTTTTAGCCGATCTTTAACGAATCTTTTTATCTTAATGAATTTCATTACTTATAAGAAATTTTAAAGATAGGTAGCAATAAAATACTAATAACTTCAATTCAAATCACTTTTTATTTCTTAAAATGACATATTTGGCACATTCATATTGCAAAAATTTTATCATGCAAAAACCATTTACTATTGTAAAATATTTCTATATTACACTGCTAAACTTTTTTGTCGACATTGTTTTTATTTTAATTTAACTCAACACTCTCCAAAAACACAAATGCAATCTATGCTATCCCATGTCACACTAAACTATAAACAAAAACACGTGCAGTGCAAGTCAAAACATGTCGCGTTACTAACGCAAAGTGTCAACTATTGGTCCAATGTCACACGCACTGGCACTGACTGAGTACAAAAGTTGAGATCCGTATCCGCAGATCTAGACACTAATGATCTGTATCTGTATCCGCGGATATATATTTTTAATGATCCGGCACATAACTAATACATAACCTTAAATTATGAAGAAAAAACTTTTAAGGGTAATTTTTTCCCCTTGCAAAAAATGTCAATAATAATAATGTAATTTCTACTATACTGAATAAAGATTTTATTTATATTTTACTAAATGATATAGAGCTATCAGAGTATAAATCAATAGTCTCTCTTTTCTTCTTTTTCAGGTTAATTGTTACTGAGCAACAGACTTAATTCTAATATGGTATTAGCATGCTAATACTGAAAATCTTAATCAACAAGCTAGCAGACATTTTTTTTAAATGATGTAACAACTTAGCTTCTAATTAATTCATTTGACTAATTACTTTTCTAAATAACATAGAGTAAACATACAAAAACTTACATAAAATGCTGAAGGTATGCATCTATGCACCTTTGTGTATGCTAATCTTGTTTAGACAGACATAATTTGTGTATATTTCTGAGAATGGTCACATATTCTTTTCCTTTTAAATATTCCCTATGAAATTTACATACAATATACATAATATATATTGTATGTATACAGGATTACCACTTAAAATCAACCTGACTGAGAAAATGAAAATGTTAATGATGTAAATAATTTTATAGCTGACATTTAAAAGTGAAGTGCATGAGACCAATTCCAGAAATATATGCAAACTGAAGGAAAGCATTTATAGAAGTAATGAAGCTATAGTCATCAGTATTTTGCATAATGTCAGTCTACACAAGATTATGCATACACAAAGATGCATAATGCACAAGGACACCACTTTCAGGATCTTCTGTAAGTTTCTGCACATTTAAATAATAATGTTATAATAAAGTTTCTAACGAGTGTCCTTCACCTAAAATAATTTGGTTTGTGTTGTAGATAACGACACATTAATACACGATAGGTAATAAATGAGTTAGGCTTATTTATTGAATAGATTATTGACAACTACAAATTAATCTTTTTTTCTTTATAATAAATTAAGAACCTATGAAATTCAATAATAATTTCAAAAATAATTATCATCACCTTTTACTTTCGGCTTCAAATTAGCTAAGGCGACAATTTCGTGTCCGTCGGCGACACATTGCATCATATTATAACAACTATCTTTTCCTCCACTATGAAATTTCATCCATAAAATAAAACGACTTTTGTAAATGATATGAAATTCTACAGTTTTATAATTTTTTTTAACAAAGTACATTACCTTATTAAAGCAACGACTTTCATTTTTTTCTAATTTCAAACTTTTGATTTTATATAATTAATCGAAGTACAAACAACGATTGAAAAACCTTTTAAAAACGGACCACGTGTTGTATTCCACATAGGAGCTATCACGTGACCACATTTTAGCGGATGCGCACGCGCAGAGATTTATCCACATTTTAGACGTCATAATAGGAAAGGTGAGATACGAAATTAACAATTTTTATGGAATTTTGTTAACAGAACTTGTTCATTTCAAACGTAAATTAGTTAATTTTTGCTCGTGATATAATAGTACACGATGTCTATTACAATAAAGACATAAATTTATCAAGTTCAGCTCAATAATTAACATTGTTGATTCAAACTATACAGGTTTATGGCCTGAAATATAAATAAAAGCAACACTAATAAACAATATAACATGAAAATATTATATTTGTTACAATAAATTGATCTGATGACATTAAGCAATTGTTTTATATGATAACTTATGTTGATGTAAAATGATTAGATATTAAATACCATATAGTAATTAATGTATTAAATTAATTACTACATGGCACAAATAGTTATAAAATGTGCTGTCTGGATAATAATAAAATTATTATTTATTTCAGGTACTTAACATATTCTTTTCCACAGATATGTCATGGTTGTCAGGTATCGTTGGAAAAGCTGAAGATTTATTGAATCAGGTCGATCAGACTGCTGCTCAAGCACTACATAAAAGTCAGACTCAGAGTGAAAATCGTATTGGAGAGACTTTTGTTAATTTGAATAGCGTTTCGCAATTTCCTCAGACGATTGGTAGAAAGGAAAATTATCAAATGAGGTCGGATTATGCGTCGGCTGAAGTAAATAAACAAATACCTTCTTTTTCCCAGAAAGTCACCACTACGACGAAACTTTCCGCGTCACCTACAAAACAGGCAGTTGGAAAAAGTAAAGTTACTGACGATGATGAAAAATTGTTAGAATTTTTGAATAGTAATGAGACCATTTCTGTTTCTAAGAAGCCGTTAACTCCCAAGAACGTTTCATCACCTTCATTTAATGTTGCATTGGAGAAAAAACCCGAAATTAATCTTAATTTAGTTAAAATGGAGAAAATTGATGAAACTTATCAAACTTCTGGTATTTATGAACTTTTTAGTGTTATTTCATTTTTTCTTACTCTTTTAAACTTATTAATACAGTAGAGCCTCGAAAACTCAGCCTAATGTGGACCAAAGGGTGGCTGGGTTTGTGAAAATGCCAGGTTATCGGGAATGGGGTTAAAAAAGGATAAGTATGCATGTTTCCTCAGAAAATATTGTACTATACTTGTACACATTGTTTGCTTGAGAATACAACAGAGAATAAACTGCCCAAATACCCTTAAACAAAGGAAAAGTATGCCTTTACTACATGAAAATGAAAATTAATGAATACACTGTGTACAGTAATTTACTTGATAAGACAGACCTCAGAAAAATACTTTATGAGGCATAAAGCTGTCTATAATGAAAATTAATTAACTAAGGATTTTTTTCCCTGCCAGGGTGTGGCCGAGTTATCCGGAGTGCCGGGTTATCGAATGCCGAGTTTTCGAGGCTCTACTGTATAACTTTTTTATTTTATTGATTTTATTTAAATAATTTATTGAGTTATGATGTTAATGTCAAGTAAAGATTGCAATGTACTGTACAATGTAATGATTAGTATTGTTTTATAATTTGCATAAGTATACCACAAAGCAACAAATTTCCATTTTTCTTGTTTTCAGATGTGCTCATGAAAATAGTATAGCCATATTAGTTTCACATTTCTGGGCTTGTTTGTATTTAATTTATCTTAGAGACTTAAAAATATTCATTTGATTTAATAATTACTTTACCAGCATTTTGATAACAATTTAGATTTAATAAACTTTTTGTATTTACACTACACTATCCAGAACCTGTAACTGGTGCGTGACGCATATATATTGTATACCACTGTTGACGAACGTTTTCGAACAATCTCTTTGCTCTTCTTCAGGTCAACTGGAATTCCCTGGAAGCATATGTTTTATTTGTTGGAATCAGGTGTCATTTTGACAAAGTGGGTCCTTTCTGACATGCGTGGTTGTGTGGCGGAGGGGGAAATTGTGGGTTGGAATCCAACAGTGATTGCCAGGCCAGAGATAGAGTCAGCTCCTCCTTCTGGTTAACGCATGTGGTTACCTGGCTGGCATTGTAGATAGCTGTGGCCTCTAGCCACCTTAGATGCTCCTGGTGGGGTGTGTTGACTATAATGGTAGCTTTTTCGAATCATGCCTCGACCTCGGGATCCGACGCATATGTGGCCAGGGCTGTGGTGAGTCTCTCATGTCAGATATTCGCCTGGTGTTCACGCAGATGGGTATTCAAGGAATGTTTAGTCAAACCGATGTATAATAAGTCTTTGTTCTGTCTGTTGTCCCTGATTGGGATAGAATAGACTCCAGGGAGTCTGGTGCTATTAGGAGAGTCTTTATCATTCTGTAGGATACAGAAAATCATGGGACATCTTTCGTATGCTAACTGTATCCTGTGTTCTCTGGCTATCTTCTTATGTACTGTCTTAAGGTATGGGTTGAATGTGATGGGGACTCGTGTCAAACCATCTTGCTGGGGGTTGGCAACATTATTTGCGGTCGGGTGTGTTTCAGGCGTTGGTATCATTCTACTAAGTGGCGTGTCATGTTTGGGAACCCGTGCTCGGTTGCTATCCTCCTGATGCAGGCTAATTTGGTTGCCAGGGCCTGCTTGGTGGATGAGTGCGAGAACGAGTGTCAATCAATTCTGCTATTAAAATTAAATTAAATTTACTTTAATACCGTCTTCTGCCTTGAAAGTTGTTAATAATAATTTAAATTTTATATGAATATTACTTTAGTTAATATAAAACAAATTTAAAAAAAAAAATGAAGCAAACAAAGCAAATGATAATGGTGTTATTATTAGTTTTAATTTAGTTATCACTGTAGCAGAAGTAATGCTGTTGTATGTAAACATGGAGAAATATTACACAATCAAGCTAGGGCTATTATTTATGTATATCATTATTTAATTCATCAATATTCATTTTATAGTAATAAAAAAAAGCAATGAGTTAGCATACAATGAACTCAACAGTCAGTTTCTAAATAGTTATTTGAAATGGTATATGCAGAGGGGAGAATTAACCAGAAATTTATCAGCTTTCAAGATACAAATTCAGGTAGAAATGTTTAATAATAATAATGATCATAGTGTGGATTTATGTACAGAAAGTGAATGGAAGAGATCTAAATTAGAGACGTATGCACTGTATATGCTTTGATGGCTTTGGGTAAAATTGCAAAGGCAATTGAATTAATGAATATGCCTGTGGTGAACAAGCATTTTTTCATGTTTTCTAAAGACACTCTTAGTGACCTCTAAAGTCACTAAGAACATCTTTCTCATCAATCATGCTTTACCTTTGTTTTATAAAATCCTTTAGAAAACAAAGGAAAAGCATGATTGATAAGTTCATATTTTCAGTTTAAAATCAGTATATAATCCATGCCATCACATAACTGACATTTGCTTTCAAATTTTCTTTTAAACAGAGATAACTCAAGTTATCTGCAAAAATTGCAGTATGTAGAATTTTTTATATTCAAGTAAATAGAAATTTTTTTTAATAATGTTAATCTTATTATTATAATATATTTAAAGATAAATTTTGATAATATTTGTAAGTTATGTTTTACTGAAGACTTAAACTTAAATAATGTATAGTAGAATCCATGTATTGTAGTCACTTTGGAACTTTTCTGTATGGATAATAATAAATGATTAATATATTGGGCAGGATAAATATATAAAATTACAACTAATGGAAATTGTAATGAACAAATAATGAAATGATAAGACTGATTAAGACTGATAACAAGTGTACATTATCAGCCATATTTTGAAGCTAATAGATATGTTTAAGCTATTTTTTGCTCTATCTGAAAATAATGGTAACTATAATCACAATTCTGATTACAATAAGTAAAGTTTTATAAGTATGTTTTGATTTTATTTTAATATATTTTTTACATTTTTTTAAATTTTGTTTTTATTCTTATAGTTTTTGAATTGTAGATCATTTTTAAAAATTTAGATATATATATACTTAAACCTGTTTAGTTAAATAGTATAGATCTTTAATTTTGTACTATGATTTTGTTTTATGGTATATGTATTAACTAAACAATTAAACTTGTTAATATTCTTTATTAGACTGTTTTCAGTTTAAATTATGATTAATGATAGAATCTATCTTGCAAAAATTTGCCCAATTGTTAATTATAATTTTAAATTGAATATAATCCAATTAAAAATGTGACAAGCTCAGTTGTTATAAGTACTTAGTAAAAAAATGGATTGCTTATGTTGTTATATACAGGATGTATCAGAATCACATTTTATAAATTAGGGGGATTGTAAGAGGATGAAATTTTGAACGTTTTGTTATAAGGAACCTATAACTGGAAATGATGTATAAAGTTTCTACAGCACTTTGCATGTTCTATGTGGTCAGTATGCTGAATGAAACAGCAGAATACAGTATTTATGACAAGTTTTATTGACAAAACTAGATTACAATCAAACTGTACATCGAATCAGTGGCTACACTACTTTAGAGTAAATGTTCAATGTGACGATCACCAACTTTGTTACATAATGTGCAACAACGAACCATGTTTTATCCGACTCTCTGTAAGATGCCATGCTCCTCTCTGATGGTATTAATTTTAAATGCCGTAAGGATGCACTTCGTAAGCTTATGAACTGCTCCTACAGGTGTTGTGTACACAAGGGACTCATGTTGACTAGCTGTGTGTTTACAGCAGTGCCAGTGGATGCAAGGGGTGATTTGAAGGACAACAAGCACTAAGTACACAACGTCCTGTATGCAGGCTCAGTTAGACCACTGTAGTTGTGTGTTTACAGTCTTCCATCTGCAGCAATAACATGACGTCAATGGATGGAAGGATAGCTACCAAAGTGAAGGGCAGTCAAGCACTTCCTACCACTGTAGACACTTTAGTTCAAATTTCCAGCTGTAGGTTCCTTATATATAAACGTTCAAAATTTCATCCTCTACAATCCCCCAAATTTTTAAAATGTCATTCTGATACACCCTGTATATACTGTAAAGTGTTTTTGAATACAAAATCATGAATCACTATAAATACTAGTAAAAACCGAAACTTATATCTGTGAAAATAAATATAAAAATGCTTTTTATTGCTGTATTACTTCTTTGAAAATGAATGAAATGTAAATACCAAATTTTAAGTACAGTAGAGTCTGCTTATTATAATTACAAATATTGTTATATGTTGTTTTGTAATATTACAGATTTAGTATGTCAAAAACATGCTGTATAAGTTAAAATGCACTTATAAAACTTGCTTATTGTAATCATAATTTGTTTATTGTTAGTATTTCTTCAGGTAAATAGAAAATTTTTTTGCTATCACTTGTCAGTTTTAACAAGTGCTTTAAACATTAAATGTTGATTGTTTTAATCATTATTTATTAGTTAAATAGTATAGATACACAGTAGTTTAAATTGCTGACATTTCTTACTTCAGTTATAGACTGAGTGAATTACAGTTATTTAATAATATATTGGTGTTGTTCAAATAATAATAATTGTTCTCAAATAGTAACTGCAGAGAAAATACACAATTTAGAATAGTAGACACAGTTATTATTTGTATAAAACAGTAATTATAATTAATAATATGTTTTAATATTTTATGATGTCCTTTTAATGCCAGTGTCTGCAAAACCAGAATTTTTACTAATTCTAGACCTAATTACTTACCCCACATACTGTTATCAGTATATGAAAATCCAAGGTGATTACAATAAACAGATATATTGCAAAATTGGGATAAACCAATCAAAGTGTAGATATAGGAAAGGAGATATCTTTAATAATAGGGCTCTCTCTTTTATTTAAAACTTTTATCTGTGATTAGAATTTAAAACATTAATTGAATCATGATAATGGATTACTATAAGATCTGAATTTTCATTACATTAGAAATAGTGCTCTATTTATTTTGAATGAAAATTTTGTTGAGTTCTGTTATTTTTTAAAATTATTATTTTAAATATCGTCTAAACAATTATGTAAAAAGCAAAGTAAATAAATACTTATTAAAATATAAGTATTTATTTACTTTGCTTTCTACATAATTGTTTAGATGATATCTTATTTTACCTTACTTTTTACATATAAATCTCTCACCTCGACACAAAAATCTTTAAACATGCAGCCTTTTTATTCACTTTTCTAACATTTTTGGCCAATTTGAATGGCCTTCCTCAGGAACAGAAAAATCGAATGATTCCGATTTNAAATCTCAAATTAAAGCCAAACTTACTAAAATTGCTGAATTATATCAGGTGGTAAAGTGAAAATAAGATTTTTGCTGGAACAACTTCTGTTCCTGAGGAAGGCCATTCAAATTGGCCAAAAATGTTAGAAAAGTGAATAAAAAGGCTGCATGTTTAAAGATTTTTGTGTCGAGGTGTATTAGTTGAGTGCAGTTAGAGAAGAATGTACTTATAAATCTATAAACAATTTATTTTTTATAATTATGATTTACAGATAACATCCATGATACAAAACAAACTAAAATGAATGAAAGTGAAAATATTTCTTTTATTGCTGAAAAGGAAAGAAATTTGATAGTTGAAGATAAAAATATTGAGGAACATAATTTAGAAATTCTCACTGAAGAGAAAATTTCAGAAATGAAGACAATAAATCAACTTCCTGAATCCAGTATGATAAATACTGTAGATGACAATTTGAAAAAAGAAAATGAACTATTACGAAAGGAAATAGTTTCTCTTAATCAAGAAACAACAAGTTTATTGCATAGAAATAAAGACATTGAAGCAGGTAAGAAAAAATGAATTTTGTGATTTCATTTTAAAGTTCTATTTGTCATAACATGATTTTAAAATTAGGTAATAAAATTTATTATAATAAATTAATTTTATCAGTATTAATATTTATGTAATATGCATATACATAATTAATTAGAATTTAGTTTTTATTTTATTTCATTACATAAATTCATTTATAAGAGTAAAAAGAAAAGAGTAATGCCAAAATTTATAGTTTGAAAATTATTTCATATTATTTTTATAATAAAATTGAACTATAAATACAAACATTGCTTGATTAATATTAAAAAGATTTTGATTTCTATTATAATAAAAATCAAAACATTTATAAAAGCATCAAATCAAATATGAAAAGTGAATTAGCTATGACTACTCTTTTATAATTATTTGATTTTTTAGAATTATTTGGAACAATAATTAAATTTTTATTGTTTTCTTTTATATAAATTAATTTTAAAATAGATATTGGACAAGTATACGATATGAATCAATTAAATTATTTTATTATTTATATAAATACAAAGACATTTAAGAAAGTTCCTCAAATGCAACTTTACTTGAAACTGTTTTTCTCAGAAAAAATCATTTCAGAAACCTTACACATTTTCAGGCTATATGCCTATTATTGGAGTTGATTAGAGAATTAAAAATTGAAAAAAAAAAATCAGATTATTACTAACTGCGTCCCATAATTGGACAAACATAAGTAAACACAATAGAGAGGTATTCTTGTGTCTGTTTTAGTTTGCAACATAAGTGTGAAAATTAATGTGCCGTAATTAATTGATATGTTTGGTAGTTAGATAGCATTAGTCTACCATAGTTGCTAGTACTGTTTAGTTTCTCTCTCCTTTTACTCCTATCTCTTTCATTTAGTTATTTCATATCATCATATTTATTATAATACTTTTGTGTGTGTTACAAAATATACAAACTAATGACACCAAAACTTAAAATAAAAATAAACTATGCTGTCTTTTGGCATTAAAGTTGACTATGTGTGTGGTTAACTTTCTTGTTTGTGTCACAGAAAAAGTAGCCATAAGGACACACTTATTTACATTCATCTTGGTGGGAACGTGTTTAGTTAGTAGTAATCTTGTATCTTTTCTTAATCTCTGCTTCTGTAATTGATTCCTGATTATGGATAGATTGCCTGAAAATGCTTGAGGTTTCTAAAAAATTTTTTTGTTTTAAGAAAAATAGTTTGAATTGAATACAAAAGTTATGTAAAAGAAATCATGGGATATTCTAATTTGTTTAGAATTCCTACTTCAAAAATAAGCATTTTCTTATTTTTATAATAATTAATAATAATATAAAAATTATTTTTTAATAAAAGTGTATAACAGATAGTGCTACATATAACTTTGACTCTGTAAATTATGAGTGCCAAGAAAGTTGTACAAGTGCCCTTGCCAGTGTTTCATCTTTATACATCATTGGAGAAAATTTAAATAAGAAAATATTTCTATTATTAAATCATTTTGCCTTAGATTGTATATTATTTCCTAATTATATGTATTTATTTATGTATGTATGTATATGTATGTAAGTTTATTTCAGAAATGAAACGAATGCAAAAGAAATTAGATCATTGGAATTGTCAAGTATCTGACAGTGATCGATTAATTCGAGAATTGCAGGAAAGAGAAGTTGATTTAACTGCAAGTTTAAATGCAAAAGATTCTCAATTAGCAGTGTTACGTGTACGATTACAAGAAGCAGATCAAGAACTTAAAGTGAAAAGATCATTAGTAGAAAAGTTACATACAGAAAATGAAAGGTGTGATTAGTAATCTCATCATTATATTTGTTTCATTAGAATGAACTAATTAATATGTTACCGCTAAAGCTCGAAATCCATTAATGTGCGCATTACCTAGCTAATCTGCAGATTAACTAGGGTGATCCGTTAAAGCTGCGAAAATTATTCCATTTCTCAAATTACCTAGGTAATGTTCAGATTATCTAGGTAATCTGCAAATTACCTACTAGAAACTCGGTAAAGTGAAAATAAGATTTTTGCTGGAACAACAGCAACGTTTCTGTACGCTTAAATTAACAAAATGTTATTTATTTAATTTTCAATATCTAAAGAATCAAGTTAATACAATCAACAAATTAGTTGATTGAATCAATCATCAATCAATTAAAAAATCTTTAATACAAAAATCAAACGGTTTAAAATATTACTACAATTAGGGAAATGAATTTGCAAAACATATGATAAAATTGTACTTACTTATTAGTGCAATCTAAAGATTGGTGACACTTTGAATTACGTAGCAATTGGTTTTTGCGACAAGCACACCTATTTGTGGTACATTTAGATTGGCAGTCACATTTTCTGAAACCCTGCCCAGTACCAAGGGATTGTTTTATTGCTGTTTGGCGTAAAGATATTTCTACAGCAGGGACATCCATCTTCTTTCGTTAAAAACCTCTCTTTGCAAACATTGAATTCAGATTTTGCATACAATTGTTTTAAAATACCTGTTTTAGTATCAAGTTTATAAAAGCCATCCTCTGTTTTACTAAGAACCACAGCTAAAATTGAACGTGCATCAGTTTTTGCTCTGTCTTCTCCGGGTACTTTAATTCTCACAGAGAAACCTTCATCGACGTTTGGGTGCTTTGCATTAGAAACTGCAAACATTTTCATTGCTTGCTTTCCTAAACATTACTTGGCTTCATCACACTGTATTTTCTGATCCATATTCTTTTTACAGATGATGCACAATACATTCTTACCATACCCTTCCTCTTTAGGATCTACTTCACCACAAACTGCATGAACAAACATATTACACGATTTACACTTGTAAACACTTGATGCTGCTTTTGAGCAAACAATACAGACTATGTCTTGTATAGTGCTCTTTACAGGCTCCGTACGAAACTGTGATGGAGATTCTGCTGAAGTTGAGAGTAGAGGATTTGATCCCGGGATCCCGACCACTTTTCAGTCCCAAAATTTTCGGGATTAAGTTTTCCTAATCCCGAGATTTTCGGGATTGACATCATTTTAAAAAAGTTGCAAAATAGACTGCATGAAGCGAAACGTTCAGTGCCAGTGCTTTCAACAGAATTGCTTGCCTATCATTTTAATATAAAATACAAGAAATTTTATTCCAAGCAAGCAGCAGAAATTAACC